CCCAGCTCTGACCAGCAGCACAGGGAGGCCAGGGTCCAAACCCCATCTCCCTGAGCCCTGCTCCTTCTCCACCTGCAGCATTGTTGGGGTGAAGACAGGACAACTCTGTGTCCTTCCCAGCCTTGGCCTCTGTAGCCTGTCAATGTCTCCTCCCCACTGAGTGGCAGTTAATATTTGTGGTCCCACTTCCTCTGGGACAGGCTCTGTCCTGCCTGCACACATCAAGAAGTGACCCAGACTGGATCCGGGCACCACTGAGACTCATCTCTCCGGCCACCCAGCAGCTGGAGCGAGGCAGAGCGAGCAGAAGCCACACAACAGTGGAACCCCAGGCCTGTCCACACCACTGAGGCAAGGATAGCCACATGGGATGTCCAGTGGCCCCATCCCACACTGTGAAGGCTACGGGCCCACAAGATCCAGGCTGAAGCAGCCTAGGAAGCATCTGAGTGTTGGAGACCCACACTAAGCTCCCAGAGAGCCAGGTGCCAGGGACCCTGTGCACAGCCTCCCAAGGCCTACCCAGCCCTACTCAGACGTGTCCCCATCCAGCCCAGGCCAGGGACTTGATGGCAACTATGTGAGCTACAGGACAGTGGGGACAGGTAGCCATGGAGCTTTCCGCCTCAGCATACAGCTGCATGCTAAGGAGAGCACAACTTGGCAGCAGTGGCCTCACAGCCCCTATCCTAGCCGACCCTTCACTGCCCATGTGGCCTCACAGCTGGGGAACCCGGGCCAGCCCTGTCCCTGCTCTTCCCCATGTCCTGTCTGATATGCCACCTCGGTTGTCAGATCTGTCCTCACTTTAACCCAGGGTGGCACAAAGGTCAAGACAAGGCAGGATGGAATGGCACACATTTATAATCCTAGCGCTCAAGGTTGAAGCAGGATTGCCCTGAGCTTGAGGCCAGCCTGGGCTATAGAACAAGACCCTGTCTCAAAAAGCAAAAAAAAAAAAAAAAAAAAAAAAAAAAAACCAGCAAGCAGCCACTGTCTCCCGGGCCCTGCAGGTTGGATTCTGGCACAGATTAGCTCAAATCCCCGGTTCAGGGTCTCCCACAAGGTTCTAATCTGGGCTGCAGTACCCCCAGCCTCCCTGAGGGTGGGCAGGACCCACTTGCCAACAGCTAGCTCCAGAGAGGGAGATGGAGGCTTAAGGAAGGAGGGAAGCAGGACACAGGGGGAGGGAGAAAGGGAAACTGGGAGAGGGAAGGCAGTCCTGGGGCTATCGTGCACTCCTACACAGGGCAGGGGACCACTGGGGCTTACAGAATTGCCCTGGGCCCCAGACCTGGGCCACGCCTACAGACAAAGGGGGAAGCTAGGAGGTTGTGGGAAAGGTGTCCCCCAGGCCATGCATGCTGGCCAGTGAGGTTCTGGGAGGCACTGCTTGCAGGCTTGAGGCTGGCTTGCTAGGAGGTGGTGGAGCACTAGCTGGAGAGTCATCACTGGGGTGTAGCTAGGTGCCTTTCCTTCCTCGATTCCCTACCCCCAGATCCCCTGTACAGCTCTCCTCCCAGACCTTTCCATGGCATCCTGCCTTTGAACCTCTCCTGCTTTAAGTTGTGGGCACTGTGCCCCACCTCGGCCACCGTCCTATCCCGTGGGTCCATTCCACCATGAATGGGGGGGGGGGGGAGTAGACAGGATGCACAAGTACAGTTACATGCCCAGCAACAGCAACCACTTCCTCACCACCCCACCATCAACCAGAGGCCCTGCATCCAGGAAGCATGGTGCCACACAAGGAAAAAGGGAGCCCTGAGTGGCTGTCTGAGCAAGTCGTGCTGTGTATGACACGGGGTGGCCATCCACATCCTGCCGAGGGCAGCCCTGGGCCCACCCAGCAGGCCTTTGAGCCCTTCCTCTTAGAGGACCAGGGTGCCTGCCAAGCCCCTTCCCAGCAGGCCCTGGCCGCTCTCCCTGACGCACCAGCTCTGTACTCATGGAGCTCACAGCCCAACAAGCTGGCCTGGGCTGGGCCAGACTAGGTGGACAGTAGTGCCGCGCACCAGGCAGAGGCTTCCACACCCAGCTGCACTCTCCTCCTGCCCTGCTGTGAGGAGCACCTTCCTGTGGGGGCCGAACGCAGAGCTGTCAGAACAGCACTAGGCTCCCAGGCGCGCTTATGTAAGAGCCGGCACCCCCACACCCACATACTGCACTCTGCTGAGCCACACTGGGCCCACCACCCCCATAGCGCCCCTTGGCTAGCCGGACCTCCCCACTAGTCCCTCCCCACACCACACTCTCCAGCAGTGTTTGGGAACCACCGGCTGCTTGGTGCCTTCTTGCGGAGAACATGCCCATCCCAGGCAGTCCTCCAGGGGCTCCACTGCACTCCGCAGTTAAGATGCCCACAGCCTGCCGTAGTGATGCCCTCCGTCCCGTTGAGGACGTCACCATGGATGCCACCATGGCCTGCCCCTGGGAGGCACCAACATGGGGCACACCCACCGGTCGGCAGGCAGGAAGCAGGAAGGGCGGGTGGTGGCCAGAATGCTCTCTGTCCCCTCTCCTGACCCCTGCAGGTCCAGGGAAGGAAAGGCATCGTCCCAATCCCCCTCCCCAACCCCAGTCAGGACACACAAGACCGAGACAAGAGTCCGAGCTGAGAAGGGTGCCCCGTCACTGGCCCCTTACTCCGGGTGGGGAGGGATCTGCTCATCCAGGCTGCTCTGCCAACCCAGCACTGCATGCCAGCAGCTAAGGGAACGGAGCCAGTCATGAAGGCAACCACATACTCTGCAGGCTTCCCTGGAGTCAGTGACCCTCAGTGGCCCAAAAGGGGACCATGTTTTAACCAAAGGTGCCAGTAACCTGCAGGGCTGGCGGGGCACAGGGAAGAGACTCTTCCAGAGGCCTGCTGCTAAACAAGTAAAAGGAAACTTCACCCAGCAGGGCCAGCAGCCCAGCCACTGTGACCAGAGAGAGCTGTAAGAGACCATGCCACGTAAAGCTGCCGTCACACCTTCTGTCAAAGGTTCTGGTTAGGGCCTTGTCCTCCCCGGCGCCTGGCCATGGAGCCCACATCTCCCAGGACCTCACATCCCTGCTCCCAACTCCTGAGACAAACGATGTGGTCTCCCAAGCAGCCAGGCCTCCATGAAGGGAACAGTGGGGAACAAACCCAAGGAAATCCCCCAGTGTCACCAGCTCCTGCTGCAGAGGGGAGCAGAGAACAATCTCGAAGTCACTCCAACCATCACAAGGCCAGCAGCCCCAGCAGGGGAAGCCCCCTGAATCCAGAATGCCTGTATCTTCATCAGAAGACTCAAGACTGTCACTCAGTGGCCATCAGTGAAGAAAGCCAGGAGGCTGGGCAGGGGCAGGCGAGGCTGCTATCTTCTCTCTTGCCCACGCGCTACCAAGGCAATAAGCCATCTACACAGAGGGTAGTGTACTGCAGAGGACAGATGCACCTACACATCTGCACACACCCAGGCTGAGCCAGAGCATTTTGGGACTTGGCCCAGGTCCCCACCCGCAGAGCCTGGTATCTGGCGCCCCCTTGTGGGCACTGTCCCCCACACACACCCTAGAGCCCCTTTCCTAGCCAAATCCTGCTGAGATTTTGTCATTCTATTTGGGGGGGGGGGGCGGCTCACAACCTTGCACTTGACAGGCAGGCATTTAGGCCACTGAGCTAAATCCCTGGCCCTCTTTTTTTTTAAGACAAGACTTCCAATATACAGTTCAAGGTGACCTTGAACTCACTATACCCCAGAATAGCCTGGAACTCACAAGAATCTCCCTGCCTCAGTCTCCTGATTGCTGGGATAGCAGGCATATACCGCACTGGGGCTCCTGCTAGTTTGTAAGGACCTAGCTGAACGCTGGAGAGGAGGCTCACTGGGTGCCTGGGGGTCAGCACATGGTGACTGAGGCGTCAGCTGCCTCATTAGAAATCGAGCACAGGGGACAGTCCTAAGTCCAAGGCCTGCCTCGAGATTCCTAGTCCACCCCACTCCCAGCAGATGGCTCCCGCAGAGCACAGGTTTGCCAGGCTCACCAGGCTTTCCTCCCCTTGTCCTCCTCCGGTCCCCGATGGCAACACTGCCTCATGCAGGCTCATCAAGAGAGGCCTGAGGAGAGGGGCAGCTGAGACACAGGATCCAAGGGGCACAAAGAAACTGACTTTCTGGGGTGTCATCTCAGGGCCAAGTTCTGACTGGGACCTGGGCCTGAGGACTCCTTGAAGCCTATGGAGAAGCACGTGGCTGGGCACAGCGAGCCTACAGCTGGCCTGCCCAGGCTAGGACCACCTGAACCGGCCTGGCCTCTGCATTCCCAGGCCCCACGTGCCCTCCCCCTCCAGGGTCACACAGTGCCGCACCCCACATGAACAGGAGACCCCAGGGCTGAGTTGGACATGACAGAAGGCTAACAGGAACCAGAAACGCCCTAGATGCAGAGGCGCAGGCTCCCACCAGACAAGCACCAAGGAAAGCAGGAATCTGAGGAGCAGGCCATGCTGCACACTGGGGTGAACACTGCCCACACGTCAGTGCTGAGACACAAACCCACTTTGCGTTCCTCCAGGGTCTTTTCTAGGTTTATTTTTTGAGACAAGTTCTCACTAGTTCAGCTGACCTGAAACTCATGGCAACCCTCCTGCAGGGATTACAGGCATGCTGGTCCCCCTTTTTAAAGACTACCTATTGTGGGCCAATGTAGCTCAGCAGCAGAAGCATCTGCCTGGCAAGTGCAAAGTCCTGAGTTTAACTCCTGGTACCCAAAAAATAAAGACAATTAAAAAAAATAAAGATGCCGGGCGTGGTGGCTCACGCCTGTAATCCCAGCACTCAGGAGACTGAGGCAGGAGGATGGTTGCGAGTTCGAGACCAGCCTGGGCTACCAAGTGAGCTCAAGGCCAGCCTGAACTGCATAGGGAGACTCTGTCTCAAAAAGACAAAAAATTAAAAAAAAAAAAAAAAAGACTACTGTTGAAAGTTTATGGGTTCGAACGTTTCTAAATTCAGGTTTTTAAGACTGCATTTCTAAATGTCAAATATTTTATTTTGCTGACTTTTTCTTAATTTCACAAATTCTAGATTTCTAAAAACAGAACACAAACTCAATCCAAGGACTGCATTTCTAAACTACAAATCTAACCAAAGCAAAGCATTGGTGATTTCCTCTAACCCTGGCCCTCCTGGGCTCAGGGAGAAGACCTGGTGGGCCCCAAGGGCTTGGAGGTGCCCTGCAGGAAGGCAGCAGCAGGAGCCCCAGCCCTCTGCTTTGAGGCTCACCAGAACCTGCGTGTCCCCGAGACACCAAAAGCCACCCAAATGTCACCGCACCCTATTGCACTCCCCCTGCCAAGAGGCCCCTCAATGAGCTGTCAGGGACCTTTAGTGCCACCCCTGAGGCAGGGATGGTGCCAGCTGCCCTCAGATCTGGATGCCAAGGCACGAGAAAGTACACAGAGGCTCTGCACTGGGCATGAGTGTGGGGGCCTCGCCTGCACTCTCAGCTTCGAGCAGCTGCTGCCCCGGACCCATCCTGCCAGAGCACAGATGGGGATGCCCCCAGGTGCAGAGGTCACCAAGAACCAACACAGCAGTCTTTATCACGGGGACTCCAAGGCACATGTTCCAGCAGGCACCCAGGCGGTGATGTGGAGACAGCAGGCGTGGGTTTCCTCACTTGAGGCGGTAGAGGACCTTGCGCTGCAGGCGGTGCTGGACCTCGCCGCGGCGCAGCATGAGCTGCAGCACCTTGTAGATGGCGTGCTCCGGGTACTTCTGTGGGTGCAGAGCATGGGGTAGACACAGGGCCCCGCACCCACCCATTGAAGGGTATTGAGTGCCATCACTGGGAGCACACTGCAGCCAGCACAGGACTCTCCATTCTAGTGAAGAAAAAACAGGCACGGAGCCCAGCCGCTGGCCTGGGGTCACACAGCAGTCAGGCAGAACTAGAGAGGAGCCCAGTCCCCATCACTGACCCTGGTCAGCCCCAAATGTCTAAGCTCATCAGTCTGGCTTGGCAACCACTGCTGCAGGGCTAGGCCAGGAGACGCACAGAGGCAGAGCAGGAACTAGAAGCCAAGGGAGCCCATGACTTCAAAGATGCAGGCTCCCCAGGGCACCCAGAACGCATGCCTGCCCTACAGGAAGCCGGGCAATGGGGGAGAGAGCCGGCAAGGCTGGGGGGACAGCACCAGCTTCAAAAGAATCTGGCCACCTTCCCTTCTCCCTTCCACATGGAATCCCTGGACTCCAGGAGGCTAAGCCAGGAGAAAGCCGAATTCAAGCCCAGCTTGAGCCACTCGGTAACTTAGGACCCTGTCTCATCATTAAAAAAATAAAAAAGACCACAACTGGACTTGGTGGTACACACACTTGGAAGGCCAAGAAGGATCACCAAGTTCAGGGCCATCCTGAACTACCTCGTGAAAGACCAAAAATAAAAAAGCTTAGGGATGCAGCTCAGTGCCCAAAAAGGTCCTGGGCCAGTACCACCACAGTAACAACCAATCCTCCAGGCCCCACAGGAAACGTGCCTTGGGGAAGTCAGGACAAGAAGGGACGGTTGCCCCCCAACCTGGGGCCACCAGCCAAGTCAAAGGACCACAACTGCCCCATCCCAGTCCATGTCCGGGGCAGGGCTCACCTGCTTGATGAAGTCCTGGACAATGCTGTGCTCAGACACCTGGGAGCCGATGGCAAAGCGGCGCTTGAGCTGCTTCTCTATGCGGCTCAGCATCTCCTGGTCCTCTTGGCTGGTGAAGCCCTCCACCCCTGGGAAGGGAGAGGCCAGGGCCCCAGACTCAGAGAAGGAACGTGGTACCAGGGGACAGCAAGGGCAAAAGACTCTAGCAGCGGTAAAGGCAAGGACACACAGCAGCCTCGAAAGCTAAGGGAAGCCAGGGCCCAAGGGATAAGTGGGGCGACCCTAGCAAGGCTGCACTAACTCTGAGAGGACACATGTATCTCTGGGTGACAGTCACCAACTAGCAGGCCAGGCAGGCTGACACGTGGGGCCCAGCCAGGTGGCCACAGCAACAACTTCCTGGGGTCAACTGGATGGGAGCTCAGGACTGTGAGTGATAGGAGGGAGGTATCCACCCCAGAACTGTTGGCACACAGGGCTAGGATTCCCAGCCCCAGCTGTGGTGGCCTCCCTGTTGACCAGGCTGCTCCCCAGAGAAGAGAAAGTACACACTTGGCCTCTCCTCGAGGGCCACCCTGCATCATCTCCACTCTGGCCACAGTCAACATCAGCTGCAACGGGGCTCTGCCGCCATTTGCCAGCTTAGGCCTCAGCACCACATGGCACCTGGAGAATCAGAGTCCATCTGCCAGGAAGCGGTGGATTCAGCGCAGAGGTGCTGCGCACGCCATGCTCCCCTGGGCAGAGGCCATGCTTCCAAAACCAGGTGCCTGGGGTGGGGAGACTGTCTGTGTGAGGGCTCCGCATGCCAGCATGTTCCCTGAGGGTGGGAGGATCAGTGAGGACCACAGCTGTGGCTGGGAAGCCCTAAAAAGGCTGAGCCAGCACCCAGGGGGCTGACCACTGTGCCCCAAGCTGTGGACCCAGCAGCAGGGCCATGGCCCAGGGCAGCCCTGGGGTTTGGGGTGGGCTGAGGTTAGAAGTCTCCTGTGCTTCTGCACCATACCTCAGTGGCACCCAAGGCCAAAGCAGCACCATCTACTCACCAGACAGGGTGCCCGACATGGCAGCATCCAATGTGGACACTTGGAAGAGCCTCAGGGCCTCCTCCACGTCCACCTCGGTGGCGAAAGGCTGAAGTTTCATCTTGCTGAGGGCCTCTGCAATGCGCACGATGGCCTCCAGCTGCCTGCGGGATGACAGGCACTCAGGGCAGCTTCTGCCCACCTCATCGGAGCAAGGGGTCTCCTGGCCATGCCCGCAAACCCATCGCCCTGCCCTCTTGGCAGCAGAGCCTTATCTGCTACACAAGCAACTTCAAGTCTGCCCCTCCACATCCAGAGCCACTCACTGGCACTGGAGGCGGGCTCAACCTGGAAGCTCCTATGCCTCTGCACTACGGCTCTGTCCCCACGAGGGAACTTCGAGAGCCGGACAGCATTTCCTGTAGTCACAGGCAGGTGTGAAGTGGGCCGGGTTGGGCCCAGGGCTCACCGCACGGTGATGGGGATGCTGGAGCGGCGGTCGCTGTCCCTCTCATGTTGCCGGGCTCCGCTCCGCATAATGATGTAGCGGTTCTTCAGCTTCTCCGCGGCCTCTGCAGACAACCGAGGGCCACACTTCCTGCAGGCAGATAGGGAGCACCCAGAGTGAGGTGTGGGCACTGGGGTACTCACCACAGCCACAATGCCTCCCCCACAGAGCACCTGCCTGGCAGGCTCCAGAGATCAACAAGGAGGAGACAGCAGGGCCATGGGTAGAAAGTGGGTTGAGAAGCCAGGCGCCTGCTGCAGGGCAAAAAGGGACCCTGCTGCTACCATCAGCTACCAGGCGGCCACAGCCTCTAGCAGGTCTGGTGAGCAGTGCCTCCTTCTTCCGTCCCCTGCCCCAGCCGCCCCACCCAGCCTGGGACTCATGATAGGATGAGGGAAACCCAGGGATAGGATGAGGGGATGTGGGAGAAACCCTAAAAATGAGGCCACTGGGGCCCTGGCAGAGGGGAACCTGGACTCCAGCACCTGCCTGTTCTGGGAAGGGGTGTGGTCTCTCCCCTGGGGCTGTAGTGTCACAGGGACGTGCACAGCACAGGGCACCCAAGTCCATCTCCAGCCTGTCTCCACTGCTGCCCACGACTTACTGCCTCCCTTGCCTGCTGAACAGACACAGTACTCCTAGCCACCTAACCTCGGTCTGAGAAGACAGTTGAAGTTCTATACACACAGAACACTCAACACCGTCCTGGTACAACAGAAGTGCTATGCACAAGATGCCTAAGGAAATGTGCAACGGCAATCACAACTCAGGACATCGGGCGCTCACTCGTTATCCACTTGAAACCCTGAGAACCTCAACTGGGCAAACAGACTCGGGAAGACTGAATGACCTGCCCAGAGTCACACAACGGAGCCACATCCACAACAAGCTCCCTGTGTGTCAAGGAGGGCGAGGCCATGGAGACGCAAAAGCTGACCGAGCCAGAGCGAGCTCTGTGGGCAGAACCCAGGACAGGGCAGTCACATCCCGCACTCACGCGCGGCAGTACGCAATGAACTTCTTCAACGTGGCCAGGTCGACCTCGCCCTCCACAGCCTGTGTCTGTGTCAGCGCGCTCACGTGCAGCGTGAGGACGTGTTTGGCCAGCATCTGTGAGGCAGGGGGAGGGATGCCGGCTTGGTCACAGGTCCCCAGAGGCAGGAAGGCCCTTGGGTCTCAGGCACTCGCCCTGCTCGCCTCCCTGCAACCTGGCCACTCAGAGCAAAGAGGTCTGCGGAAGGATGTACATGGGACCGCACCCTAGGCAGCATGAACCCTGGGGCTGCTGCTGGAACCACCCAGGAAGGGGAGGCCTGCTGTAAGCAGCAGCAGCTGAGCAGGTGGACATGAGGCAAAATGGGCAATGGATGTTCAGGGACAAGGCCTCCGTCACCTCCGCTTGGGGAAGCCAGGCAGCAGCACTGTCTTCATGGAATGCCTGCTCCACCCTCCCTCCAGGCCTCACGTTCTCAGCACACCTGTGGTAACCAGAACCTGGCCCCTCACTGACCCCTTGACCCCTGTGAAGGTGAAGGCCCAGAGGAGGGCTGAGCCCACCACACTGCTCTCACTCCTCAGGCCAGAGCCCCACAGGCCTCTCTGCAACCACGGCTCTACCCAGCCACCACTGCCACATCTTCTGCGCCTACTGCCAGCCAACTCAGCCTTCAAACTGTGCTGGCCAAGGCTCGTTGGCTGTCCCCAGCCCTGCTGGGAACGCACCACATCCCTCTCCTCGTTGTGCTCGTCCTTGACAATGAAGATCATGTCAAAGCGGGACAGGATGGTGGGCATGAAGTCGATGTTGTCCTCCCCCTTGGTCTCATCCCAGCGGCCAAACACCGAGTTGGCAGCAGCCAGGACAGAGCAGCGTGAATTTAAGGTGGTGGTGATTCCAGCCTGAAAGGAGAGGAGGTCAAGGTCACCACACAAGCACACACACACGCATACACACACACACACACACACACACACACACCAGCACGTGCCTGGGCCAGCAGGACAGACTGCAGCCCATGGCAGCCCCAGGGGAGGACCGGGCAGGGCAGGCTCACCTTGGCGATGGAAATGGTCTGCTGCTCCATGGCCTCGTGGATTGCCACACGGTCATCTTCTCGCATCTGCAGGACACAAAGAAACATCGTCAGACCCACCCAGGTTGGGGTGGTGGTGGCAGAAAAATCAGCAGCAACCGATACGCCGGGTCACCTCCAGCTGGGAGCGTGGCCAGCCTCTCCCATCCACAGGCATGGAAACTGAGGCTCAAGAGAGGCCAAGGGGCTTGCCAGCCACGTGAGTAAAAGCCCAGTCTTCCCCCCAGAGCTGGCTTGTAAAGCACACACTGGGGGCCACACAACCCCCTCGCTCACCTTGTCAAACTCATCAATGCAGACAACCCCGCCGTCAGCCAAGACCATGGCTCCGCCCTCCATGATGAAGTTCCGGGAGGATGGGTCCCGCATCACGGAGGCGGTGAGTCCAGCCGCACTGCTGCCCTTCCCAGATGTATAGACCTAGAGAGGGAGGCCGGGATCAGGGGTGCGCCAGCTCCAACTCTGGAGCTAAGGATACAGTTCAGTGGCAGAGCAGGCACACAGGAATGCAGTACTGGGCTCACCCCAGCACTCCACAGTGATAAACACACAAAGCACAGGTCCGACAGAGCGGGAGATGACAGCCAATGCCAGCTGTCTCCTGTTTAATTCTTACCTGGCTCAGCCTCTGCCGCCCTGCCCTGCTGGTTCTGATCGGGGTGCCTGCTCTCCACAGAGCTCCCAGCCCCCACCAGGGTCAACACTGGGCCCTGCTCAGGGCCCCACCTCACTGCTCTTACCACTGTGTACAACCCAGCCAGGATGCCACGGCAGGGTTGAGGCACATCATCGATGCCACATCCAGAAGGACCCACTGCTGCTCAGGGAGACCAAGGCCCTCTGACAGCTTGGTCAGGCAAGATGTAAACCCCAGGCTGACTCTGGCCCAGTGCTCCTGCCCCCACACTCACACAAGCCTGTGAACTGCAGCCCCTCCCCCTTACACCCAGATCATCAGTACAGGGTGAGAAAACTGTCCTAGCGCGCTGTCCACTCACCCCAATGGGAGAGCACTTCTCCACAAATTTCAGGAGCTGGGACTTAGCTGTCCCCGGGTCCCCCAGCATTAGCAGGTTGATGTCCCCTCGGCGAGTGAGTCCATCAGGGAGCCTGGGTGGGGAGGGAAAGAACAGGAGGCCAAGACTTAGCAGTGATCTGATGGTACCAGCAGCCTCTCCTCCCTAGCACAGCTGGGCTCAGTGGCTATGGCTCTGCAGAGTGACGGAGGGTAACCAAGGACGGTGCCTGCCACCCAGGCAAAGAGGGTCAGGCAGCAGGAACCTGAGGCCTCGAGAAGGTGCCCATCAAACAAGCAACGGGCGCGCCTCCTGCAGCAAGGAGAATGCCGCGTACAGGCTCCCAGTCCCCGAATGTTTCAGTCCCCAAACGTCCCCAGGATCAGGGCCCCCACAGCTGCCACCCCAACCACAAACTGAGCACCATGGGGATGTGTTACTATCCCTGTTACTATCACTTCTACTTCAAGGCTTCCTTGGACGCCAAAGTCTTCCAGCCACCTCACTCCCAGGGAATGAGCACAATGGTGTCCCTCTGTTTCCCAAAGCCACCCAGTAAGCAGGTCCCCAGCCCACATTCTTGCTGCCCTTATGTATTATCTGAGACAGACATAAAATTGGGGAAGGCTGCCTAGGAACACAGCAGGATAAGGGCCTGGCCACCATCCTGTGTGTGCCAGGTCACCAGTCCCCTGGTTCTCACCTCTTCCGTGAACCCCCGAAGAGCAGGCAGGCAATGGCCTTCTTCATGTCTGCACCCCCAAAGATGGAGGGTGCGATGCTCTTGGAGATGACCTCATAGACGTTGGGGAGGGCGGCCAGGCGGCGGAACTCCTCTTCCTCCTGCGGACTCACAGAGCCGGCAAAGCTGCGGCCTGCATGGGAGGGAGCTGGGTGAGGCCGAGGGTACCACTTGGCCCACAAGTTCTCTGACCCTGGACCAGAGTTCCACAAACACCCTCAGGGCAGGGCCACAGGCAGAACCAAGATGCACACGCCAAGACAACAGGAGTGGTCGGCTGCCTGACTCACCAGAGCCATCGGTGTCCACTTGGATTCCCAGTACACGGACATAGGCACTCCGGATACCCACGCCCACCTTGTCTCGACCCCTGCTGGGGTTCAGGCCAAACTTCTTGATGGAGTAGATGCCCATGATGGTGACCCTGTTCCCAGGGACAACTCTGTCACACAGGTACCTGAAACAAGGAGAGGAACATAGTAATGAGGTCCTGTGGGCGTGGCCAGCTATGTTCAGAATGCTCTGGTCACCTCAGCATTCCTACCCTAAGTAAGCATCACCCCAGGCTAGCTCCCGCCACAGGCCTACAATGGGGACAGGCCCTGGCCACACCTGTGGCAAGGCAGCCAGCAGCCCACCCAGCCCACCACGGCTCAGACCCCACCATCCCCAGAGACACTTGGCCCAGGTTCTATGCCACTCAGATGAAGTTTTCCTGCTCACCCCATCCCACCTTGGCCTCTGGGTTCTCGGCTCATCTTTCACAGAGGGGTCCCCAAGGCCCCCAACCCGCAGCACGGAGAGCCTAGGGTGGGGAGCCTGCGTGATCTCAGAGAAGGCACTGCACCTCTCTGAGCCTGGAAAGGCAATAGCACCCAGCCTGCCCTGACTGCTGCAGAACCAGTGGGATGATGAAGAGGCCCATCTCTGTGCGATGCCATCACTGTCACCTAACTACCTGGCCCTACTGGTTTCCAAACCACGGCAGCTTCTTAAGATGTTGGTCTAGCTGAAGACTGAGACCATCCTCATCTGCTATCCTATGTGGACAGGAAACAGCCCCATGCTCCACTTCCCCAGGGAAATTAGAATGCTGCAGATTACTCCCCAAAAAATGTTCCCACAGGCTGGTCCGAAGGTAGTGAGTTATCTCAATTGAGTGTTCACAGTCAGTACAGATTGAACTCCTTGTTCTACTCTTTCCCCCCTTCTCACTACTACACTTGACTAGTCTTAAAAAAAAAAAAAATGTTCCCACAGAACACACAGGGACCCAGTGTGCTGGCACACAACCACAATCCCAGCCCTCAGGCTGAGGCATAAGATCGCCATGCATTCAACGCCAGCCTGAGCTACACAGGTAGGCACTGTGTCCAAAAAACACAAGGGCAGGCAACCCAGGTGCTGGGCAGTGGCTTCCCTAGCCACACAGTGACGTGGGAATACAGCCTGGCCCCACACTCCCCAGGCTGCTCAGTCTCGAGGGCAAAGCAGGAGCGGGAGCCTCACCTGTCGCAGTAGAGCTGCATGTGCCGGGGCATCTCACCATGTGGCACAGCGTCTGGCAGCTCCTGCAGCTTCAGGGTCTGGAAGTCCACACACTTGCACTTGTCGGGCATGATGAAGTATGGGTCCAGTGGGCACCGGAGGCGGCCAGCCTGGTCCCTGCAGGGGAAGGCCCAGAGCCATCTGTCCCAGAGTCAGCAAGTGAGGTCCTGGACAGGCCAGGGAGAGGTGTGGACAGAGTGGCAAGCAGGTGGGGCTCCTCCATGATGGGGCCAGGAGAAGTGAGCAAATCCCCCAAGGAAAGTTCTCACTAACCCACTCTCATTAGGATCCCTCCCAGAAAGACCCTAGGCCCTCTGGACTACCAAGGTTCAAGGCCACAACACCCTATGTACAAGTCTCCATCCACAACACAGAGTGACACATGCAACAGTAGAGCAAAGCCAGGTGCCCCTCTGGGTGTCAGGACACCACGCCAAGGCCCTGCTTCATAGAGCTAGCTTCCAGTCAGAGCACTTAAAAAATACGCTACATGAAAAAAAAAAAAAAAAAAAAAATACGCTACATGGCCAACATATACAGTGAATGTTCTTTTTCAAATGTATTTCAGGGCAAGGCTTGATGGCGCAAACCCAAAATCCCAAAGCACTTGGGAGGCTGGGTGAGGCAGGAGAATGCTGAGAGCCTGAGGTCAGCCTGGGCTACAGACTGTCTCAAAAAAAACCATTATACTGCATAACACTCTCATTAACCCCCGAGGACCCTCCCCGTTTGAACACTTATGCCACTTCTGGCAGCTGATCTGGAAGTCCTTTCCTGATCTTTAGCTGTGCTGCCATGGCTGCCTCCATGTCCTGAACCAATTCAAGACATTCACCTTTCAGGGCTATTGTGAGTCTGCAAGTCTAAGCCACAGAGCCAGGTCAGTAAGGGGGAAGAGGACACAGCATCATATTCCTGGAGCTCACCTCTGTGCTGGATGGCGCTCACAAGCGGCATTCACCGTACTTTTTAGTCACACCTCAGAACTGCTCCAAGCACACAAACCTATAATGTTCTGAAATGTATTTGTAGCAAAGCTTCTCTCAAAGAGAGAGTTTCTTTAACAAAACTTCAAATGAAACATTTTGACCACCTTTGTACTAAGTAATAAATGACAGGTAGGTGCTAGGCAAGGCAGGGGATTTACTCAGCAGAACAAGGGCCTGCAAGGTCCTGAGTTCAACACCTGGTACCAAAAAAAAAAAAAAACAAAAAACAAAACTCAATGAAGAGACTGCCACGCATGTGATGCGCATGTCAGCGTGAGACAGGAGGTGGTGACGATCCTGAAGGACAGGTGAGGATGACTGAGTGGTCTGGGGCAAGGAAGCCCTTCAGGAGAGGGGTGGTAGCAGCATGGCCATGGACAAGCAAGATCCGGAGGAGACCCCATGACAGGCCACACAGGGCACGTCAAGAGCCATCTGCCTGCCACTGGCTGCCTGGGAAGGGCAGACTCAGGAACGTGGAACAAGGTATACAGTGTGGATGGCCGGGAAGGTCAAGAGGAAGGGTGGCAAGACTATGCCAGGGAAGCAGAGACAGCGGTGCCCTCTAGTTCAGGAGGGTGACAAGTGCCCTATAAGGGGCCAGACATGGAGCGTCCTAGGTCCTGCAAGCTGAGTGCCATGTGCTCAGCTTCACCAGCCAGGCTGCTCCTGTAGCACAGGGTCTGGTTCTGTTCTCAGGTGAAGCAGTCACACACAGGATGCTTCCCAAACCTACAACCCCCCACGCAGGTCCTGGGCACCCTGGCAAGGACATGGTGCCCACCAGTGATCCTGAGCTGGGTCCAGGATGCCCACAGCAACCTCGGGTTGTGCTCACTGCCTACTCACGCATTGCATTTCCTGGGCAGGGCATAGCCCTCCAGGCCTGGGCGCATAGCGATGTTGGTGAGGGTGTTTCGGCAGCTGCGGCACTGGATGGAGATGCGTGTGGCCTTGGCCCGGACCGCAGAGGCTGCAATGATGATGCCAGGGATCTTCACCAGGTGGGACATCATGTCCGACTGCAAGAGCCAGGAGGCAGCTCTGGTAAAAGGGCACCTGGGGACACCCTCAGGCACCTATCTATCCTGTCTCTTTCTATCCTGTCCCTTTTCATACCACCTGGATCACCCAACTGTTCCTGTCTCTCTCCAGGTGTCACCCTGAGAACAAGGGCTAGCTGCTTATTCCTCACACTGAGGATCTGGACCAGTACCAGGCACGCAGATCCCACCCACCTGTAAACAAGACTGTCCCATCCACCTTTCCTACTCCTGCCTGACCTTCAGCCCATGTGGTAGCCTAAGTGGGGCCTTGCAAGCACCATGCCTCCACACACCAGGCTCTACACCAGCAAAGGCCCCTCTCCTGCCTAGAAAGCTCTCTCCCCACTATGCACATCCTGTGCCACTTTCATGTCCATCCATGCTGCCACCGCCTTCTTGGTCTTCCCTGCTAGACACAGACTCAGAAAAGTTCACCCTAAGTGGGTGTTCTTCAAGGACCAACTCAGGCTGTACCCAGGAGTGAGCTCAGTAAACACCTGCCCAAGCGAGCTGATTAACTCAGAGAACAAAGCAGGTTGGGAAAGCTGGTGTGTTTGGGCCAGGGCCACCCAATTGGTGCCTGGGCTGTCTGAAAGCCTTCTGCTCATGCAGCAACCTCCACTGGACTCACCTTCAGGCTCCGAATGCTAGAGGGGCTGGCGTCCGACTTGAGCATGACCTGGATGTCTTGGAGTACCTCCTCCCCAGCAGGCCGGGGCCGAGTCACCTCGTCAGCCACCTCCTTGGCCGCTTCCTCTAGCTGCACAGGAGGACACAAGCCATGAGTGACGGTCAGGGTATATTACAGGGGTCTTGGGCTGGGCCCTACTCACCAGCTCCAGGTGCTCAGCTGGTTGCTTGTACAAAGAATCAGCCAGGTCCTCATCAAAGCTGGCCAGGTCCTCCATCTCCACCTCAATCCAGTACTCTCCCAGGTTGTAATGGCGCTTAAGCTCATCTCTGCAGGGTAGGGGAGGGGCAGAGGGGAAAGCCCCACTGACTGCCATGCCCTCACCCAGCCACCACTCCCCCAACCTACATGGGTTCCAGGACAGTTGATAGTGCTGCCCTACTTCGGAGCTGCTCTACTGCGCTAAGCATCCTCCAGGACAGCTTTATGGACACCAGGGCATCACAGGCAGCAGAGGGACTCAAACCTCAGGACAGCAGCCAGTGCTTTTACTGCAGGATGCTCCTCCCTTCACTGCCTCCTGGAAACCAAACGCTCAGGCCTCCTCCAGTCTACAGTCTCAAGCACAGACCATATTTGCCTCCTGGATGCTGCGGAGCTTTCACACAGAGCATCTCACGCTGCTGTCCCAGAGCCCTCATGATTCCTGTCCCTCCACCCGATAGGAGGAGGCCTTACAAACTGCAGGGCTGCAACTTGGCATCGAAGCACAGCTAGCTGGGGCACAACAGGTGCTCAGTCCCCCCACTGAGGACGTATGTGGGGGGTACGCATGAACGAAAAAACAGGAAACGAGTTGATAAGGGCGCCCCTTCACAGCTAGCACCAGAGCGCCGGTTTACAGGAACCCAAGGCCGCGGGGGGAGGCTGGAGAGGCGAGATGGAGGGGCCGGGACACAGAGTCCCGGCCGGGCGGATGTGCCCCATGCCCCGCACCCGAGATCAGCGAGACCATGCAGTTAGCCCGCCACCTTGGGGTCTCGACACACCACCCCGCCCCGCCCCGCCCCCCGGGACCCCGACGGCCTGCGAACCGATAGGTGAAGGAGCAGCCCGCGCCTGCCCGGAACTGCCGCAGGAACTCCCGGAAGCGCCGCTGCAGCTGCGCCCTGCGCGCCCGCCCGTCGTCGCCGCCCGGCTCGGCTCCGAAGCTGTCGCTGTAGAAGACGCCAGGGTCATCGAAGCCCGACATGCCGCGTCTGCGGATGGGAGGGCTGTGAGCACTGCCGGGGGACGGAGCTCGGCGTCCAGACGCTCACGCCGATGCCCACACTCGCGCTCACGCGCTCTTGCACCAGCGCACTGCCACTCCGCGCCTCCGCGCTGCAGACTTTCGCGGGAAAACCTAGAGTGTGTGTGTGTGTGGGCTCCCGAGCCGCGCGCTCCCATTGGTCCGCCGGGGCCCGCAGCCGGCGATTGGGCCGCTCTGCATCCCACGAGTCCCACCTCCCGGGCCGAATGCCGAGGCGGATTGGCTATGGTGTGCGTGATATCAGGTCACGCCCCCTTCTGGGCTCCATTTTGTGCGTGGAACAATTTGGCGCGAAACTTAGGGAGGGAAGCTTCCGGGCAACAGCCTGGAGGAGCAAAGATGGCGGAAAGTGGGCTGGCCTGGGGCTTCCAGGCTCCTGAGCAGTGACGCCAATCTCAGTCTGCAGGAGAAAAGGAGACGGAGACGGGGGCGGGGGCGGCGCATGAGGCTGCAGGTCTGTCACCCCAGCACTGGGAGGCTGAGGCAGGAGGACTGCAAGCTCCAGCCCAGCCTGGGCAGCTAGTAACTCAGTCTCAAGATAAAAACTAAAGTGTAGAGCTTGGTGTGGAGGCCCCGAGTTCCATCCCCAGGGGAGCAAATTAATTTTTCAGCAGTGCTGAAAGCTAGAAGAGACCGCGGCTCTGTGGCCTTCAGTGGACAGTGGGTGGCAAGGACAGCTGTCCCTTTGCCACCCGCAGACGGGGTGACTGGTAGGCCTGGCCAGCAGCGCCCTGGGACCTGGGACCGCCTGCAGAGGGCAGACCAGGGGAGCTCAAGCAGGAGGAGGGGACAGGCCATCAGCCTCAGCAAGGTCCCCTGGAGCCCCAGCTGAGGCCTCGAGTGACACGTCTGACCTTGGCTATCAATCAAGGATACATCTGTCTGACCCCACCAAGTGCCACACCGCTGCTACTTCAGGCCAGCACCCAAGGGTGGGCAAGGCTGGGGGACTGAGCGAGGCTGAGCCCTTGCTGTGAAGCTGCTGAGCCTCTGCCTCGTTCTCTGTATGGACCCTTACCTGTACCCTCCGTCCCGCACCCCTGCATCCTTTGAGATGCCCACTCAGTTTGGTGCAACTTGGGTAAAGCACTTCTAGCTACTGCCCTGGGACCCTACTCCACTACCCCAGGAAGCAAGAAAAATTGGCTCATACCTGTAATCCCAGCACTCAGGAGGCTGAGGCAAGAGGATCACTAGTTCAAGCCCAGCCTGGATGATCTAGCAAATTAGTGAGTCCCTGTCTCAAAATATCAGGTAGGAGCCAGGCATGGTGTCACACACCTGTAATCCCAGCTCTTAAGGATGCTATTGCAGGAGTTGGAGGCAGCCTGGGCTATGCCATAAGACCCTGTCTCAAATACATGAAAGGACTGAAGGGGTAGCTCAGTGTGAAGGCTCTGGTTCAAACCATGGTACCACACCAAATAACATCCATTTGCCTTTGTACAAATACTGGACTTGTCCCTCCCATAAATTGCTACAATTCTAAAACCTTGGCTTTGGGCTGGGGATTTAGCTCAGCGGCATAAGCACCTGCCTTGCAGGTAGGCAGTCATGAGTTCGATCCCCGGTACCAATTTAAAAAAAAAAAAACAAACCCTTGGCTTTGCCCCGTGTGACTGAAGGCCAAGTCCCAGCACTCTGAAAAGCTGAAACAGGAATATCCCAAGTACCAGCCTAGCAACTTGGTGAGACCCTGTCTCAAAGTAAAGATGGGGGGGGGGGTGGAACTCAGCATGAAAGCCCAGGGAACCCCTGGTACCAGAACTGTGCACACAGGCAACCGGCTGTGTACAAGGCCTCTCACAGACCCAGGTCCCAGGCTGTGTCTCCAGGCACCCGCTAGCACCCCCTCATCCTCCTAGACATAGTGTGGTCCGCTGCGTTGAGACCCGGGGATGCAGTGGCACTAGAAAGAGCCCCTGCAGCCTGTCACGACACTGCCTGGCATACCCTGCACCCCACATTGAGGGCTGCAGGGCACAGGAAAGCCTTGCTTTGGGGTAGGGTTAGGGTTAGGGGATGTACCAGGTGGAACCCTCAGAGAGCAGCCACCAGCTGCCACAGCCAAGGGAGCTCCCATGGGACAGGAGCCACAGAGCTCCGCCTCCCCGCCTTAAGGGGCTGACACCACATTTGCTTCTGTGGACTGACTGAAGGACAGCCAGGGCGGGGCCGAGGGAGGTGTCCTGTGTCTTGTGACAGGTGGTAAGACAGGGTCTCAGGGGCCTACCAGGAACTGAAATTCAAGGATCTGTCCCAGACCCTGAAATGCTTCCATTTCCCCAGAATCTGCTGTGGACCTGAAGGGCCATCCCAGCCTCTGGAGGATGGGCTTAGGTCCACACAGTGGTTTGCCACTGTGTCCACACTCAACCCTTGGAGGCCCGCAGAGCCCCTGCCAGCCCCATTACACACATTGAGCACACACATGTATACATGTGACCGTATATCCCCACCTCCAGAGAACAGAGGGGAGGGCTGAGCCCGAAGGCAATGGAGCCATGAGAAAAGGGCCTGCCTGGCATGCATTTGATTCCTGGTACTGAAAAAAATACTCTGGGCTACCATCACTCCACAGCTTTTATTGTTCCACACAGAAGTGCCACCAAGGCCACAGTGTGGTGAATCCCACCCCACCCGCAAAGGCCCTACCCCTGTTATAAAAAAACCCACACAATAAAGTCCCCAGTTCAGGATGAACCAGGATCGAGGAGTGGCTCACACAGAAACAAGACAGAGACACAAGACAACACTGATATAAAAATGTCCATGCCCACAGGTGTGTGGTCACTGAACCAGAGGCTCAGGTCATGGCCTGTTGGCTGTGACCTCCAGGCTCAGCTGCAGGAAGGGTGCTGAGTCGGGGAGTCCAGCTGCTGCACACGCTCTTGGTGGGCAGAGGCTGGGGCGCCTTCTGCTCCAAGAGGGACGTGGAGGAGGACAGGGACTGAGAGGCCCATGCTGAGCCAGGACAGGGCGAACGCCACTCCGGCATCCCAGATGCAGTTCACGGCCACAAGGCCAGCGCCCCAGCATTCACAAGGCATAAAGACTCATGGCCACCGTGGCCACCAGGAAGGTGAGGAGGGTCAGCACCCATGGCAGCAGGGGCCCAGAGGATTGGCTGGGGAGCTGGGCCTTGCCCTGGGGCACCTCGTCCAGGCTGGGTTCTGTAAGAGCAAGAGAAGTGGGCTCAGTGGGCTGTGGGGGGGTCATGAGGCCAAGGCCCTGCACCTCCAGCCCAGTCCCTCTTACATGAGGCTTCCTCACAAGGGTCCCATGAGCCGTGGGCTGAGGGAGCTTCTTGGTGACCAGAGCCACCCACAAAAGGTTAGCCCCACTTCCCACTTACTTTTTTTTTTTGGTACTAGGGATTGAACTCATGGCCTCGCTCTTGCCAGGCAGGCACTTATGCTGCTGAGCTAAATCCCCAGCCCTTTTTTGTCTTTTTGAGAGAAGGTCTCACTATGCAGTTTATGCTGGCCTTAATCTCACTTTATAGCCCAGGCTGGCCTCAAACTTAAAACAGTTCAATCCTCCTGCCTCAGCCTCCCAAGTGCTGGGATTACACAGGCTTTTACCACCGTGCCAGGCCAGTTGTTTGTTTTTTGAGACAGGGTCTCGATATGTAGTCCAGACTAGCCTTGCATTACTCACTATATGACCCAGGCTATCCTCAGTCTCAGAGGAACCCTCCTGCCTCAACCTTCTGAGTGCTGAGTTACAGGCCTGTGCCACAGTGCCTGGCCCTCTTCTCACTTAGAAGCACTCAGAAGACAGAGTGAGCAATCCACCAGCCTGCACCCCGAGCTCTCACCTTGTCCCTGGCTGCTGGCCCGGTGGTGGAGCCCCAGTGTCTGGGGAGGACTCTGGTCCTGAGACTTGGGGGTCAGCAGCCCCTGTAGCTCCTCGAACAGCTAGAAGACAAGAGTCCAGGTGTTGCATGACGTGGGGCCTGGGCAGGGCTGTGTAAGGTTCTGGAAACGCCCCACATGAGGACACACACAGCCCTTGTGACCACCCAGCCAGGGTTGCACCCAGGGGAACAGGGTGGCTGAGACCCCATTCGTGCGTCAGTGCCCAAGGTGCATCCCGGACTCCCCCAGGTCAGGTGTACTCCCCTCCGTAATGTCCTCCCACACAGACCGTGGCTGTTGGGCCCTGCAGTCACCATGGCCTGGCTTTCCCTGGGGACCACTTGGGCTTCCACCCCACCCACACACAGTGCCAAGGTGGGCTGCTGCTGTGGTTCCTGTGCACAGACGGAGAAAGGAGGATGAGGCCAGGCCTCACCTGGATGTTGAGCAGGAAGGCGGCCTTGGCCTCGGCCAGCACCCTGTGCCGCACCTCGGGCGTCATCTCCAGGGAGTTCATGCGAGCACGGTACAGCTGCTTGAACTTGGTGGCGTTGGGGACTCCAGGGAAAGTGAAGAAAGCCAGGCCCTCACCAGAGGCCGGCAGCCCCAGGGCCTTCTGGGCAATCTTCTTGAGGACCTGGCCGCCTGACAGGTCTCCCAGGTAGCGGGTGTAGGCATGGGCCACCAGCAGCTCCGGCTCTGCACGCCCCACCTCGTGGAGCCGCTGCACGTAGCGGCTGGTGGCGGGCGAGCAGGGCACGGCCAGGCGCCACTGTGGCCCGTACCAGAAGGCCATGTCCTGCTCCAGTGCCTCACGCCGGTGCAGCTCTTCAGGGAAGTAGACAGGTGCGAAGGAAGGACTGTCCCTGCTGCGCTCAATCTCCTCCTCCAGCGCGGCATAGATGTGGTACAGTGAGGCCATCACCAGCTGCGGGGCAGGTGCCACAGCGTCAGACCGCGGCTGCCCAACCCATCTCCCCAGCATGGCACTCCCAGAGGAGGAAAGTCAGCCCATGCTGCTCTGCCTAACTCAAGCACTTTGCAGGAATACCCACAGCCTTGCTGTTCCTGTAGACACCAGCTGGGGGCTCCAGGCCGAACTGGCCCCACCCTACTGGCTCAGGGACACCCTTAGCACATTAACCCCGCAGCCTGCACACAGGACAAAGTCACACATTCCAGGCCGGGTGGGTGCCAGGTGACTCTGACTCAGAGGCCAGCCGTGGAAGGCCCATTCCTGAGGGCAGACAGCAGGAAGCTGGCACAGAGCACACGGCTCTCAGAGGCAGAGCCACCCTGGGCTGTGTGGCTGAGGGTGCATCACACCCTCTCTGGTGTCAGCGGTCAGCCCTCCTCTGTGGAAGGGAAATTAACCCTCTGCCCTGGCTGGCACAGGTCAAGGGCCAGCTCAGGACCTGGTCCATAGGGTGCTCCCGCCAGAGGGGCCAGCCACTGTGGCCCCAGTTCTGGGTGCTGGTTTTGAACTCTGAGAGGGCAGTGGAGACTTCCATCGTGCCACAATGGCATGTGTGGGGTGCAAGGTTGGGCTGGGGTAGAGGTGCAGGGGGACCTAAACCCCAGCTCAGCTGGCAGCAGACACAGCACTGCCAGGCTTGGCCATGCAGGCTGTCTGGGAGTGAGTCTTACAGCCCCTCCTGGAGACAGCAGAATCAGCACCCACTGTCTGCCAGGGGTCCTACTGGCCATACCACATTAGGCTTAAGGACACTTAGGGTGGGGTACAGCTCTTCCTGCGTGTGGCTGTGTGACATCCTGCTGGAGATGAACCTCTCTGCGCTGTTCGGTCACCAGCATGGAGGCCTTGCCTCGCCATGTGGCCTGGGGGTGTCACACTGTTGGTCCTTCACCCTGTGCTGTGCACAGTACCTACCTTGAAGGCCTCTGGAGTCACTTGGCCCTTCTGAAAATTCCGCATGAACTCAGTGTTCTCTGCCTGGGTGTGCACCTCCTTGGTGGCCTCCTTGATGGCCTCAGACAGATCCTGAGGTGCCCTGTATGGAGGGGCGGGGTGAGTGGGGGATGGGTGAGACCAGGGGCAGCAGTCCCCACACGCTCTTGAGGTACAGTCTCTCCAAACCTAGGCAGGGCAGTGAGGAACTGAGGGGTCGGGTTCTGAACTCCATACCCAGATCTGTAAAAACAGCACCAACAAACTGTTGTAGCCTGGCATGACTGACCCCATCTTGAGCCCTGCATTTAACTAGTGCCCTATATTTGACCCAAGAAAGTGGGAAATTACTCAGGGAATAAGTCCCATGAGAAAAGCAGAATGAGCTGTACCCACAGGAGAAAAATAAACCTGCTCAACAAAAGAAGCAGGATACAGGTGTCAACTGAAAATTAATGTAAGATTCTAACTAAACTGTTTCCAACAGGGGGCCTTTTGTGATTCCCTCTTGTATAAACTATAACTTTCCAGTTCGGGGCCACTTGTTTGGGGATGGGCTCGGGTGGGGGCCACTGAAGTGGGGGTGGGCTCGGGTGGGGGGGTGTCTCTGTATACAAGTGGTCCTGAGCTCAGTTAATTAAATTCCAAATTTATCAGTTTGGCTGCCAGGATTCCTATATTGTTATTCACGAACCCATCTCACAAACAAGCCAGGGAGTCTACTGCCTTGTCATTCCACAAAAGGGGACCCTGGGGACCCTGGTGCAGCACTGAGTCGCTTTCCACCTGAGCATCCAACCCAGGGCCTCTACCTTTGACTGCACCCCTAACCCTTTTCATTTTTGACGAGACAGGATCTCACTGAGTTGCCCAGGCTAGACTCAAACTTGCCATTCTCCTGCCTCAGCCTCCTGCAGTGCTGAGATCATAAATGCACGGCACTACACCCAGCTTTGATTTGACTCAATATTTAACTCATTTCTTTTGCTGGTTTCAGATCAAATTTCATGACTCCAATGTTATGCTAGTTATCAAGCTGCTTCCATTAAAAAGCCCCCAAAATTCTGCTTTCCTGAAGGAAGGAAGAATCCCTCTGGGAGTATCTCACTCCAGCGCCTATGGTCATTTCTCCCTCCTCTCCCCAGTCCTTCTGAGACAATGGCACTCGTGAGACAAGAGAAGAACCCAGGTTCGGACTGGGTTGTTCACCTGCCAGCAGCCAGCAGCCAGCAGCCCTGGGCACTTGGGACCCGGGTCTGAGACAGGGACGTCTGCTCAGGGGTCTGGCAGGTGGTGAACTGTGTGAGCCCAAAGAGAGCCAGCACCCATCCAGGCTGGGGGCCAGCCCCGGGCAAGTGTGGAGTCGTCCCAAAGTTCCCAGAGGGACAGACACTCCTGCCTGATCACCTGAGGTGCGGCCAAAGGACACCTCCCCTGCCTCCAGCTGCCTGAACACACAGCTGTTCTGCCCCGGCCCCTTCCTGTCCTCAGTCCAGTCCTTGTTCCCGTCCCGCCAGGGTGAGCTTGCCTGCTGGGCTGCGGGCACTGCAGCTTGGTCCCCGTCTCCATCTCCATCGAAGTGGCTCCGGCTGGCTCCCTGGGCTCAGAAGCTCTGGAGGTGGCAGCTGGGGTGCTGGTGTCAGGGTCGAGCGGTGCGGTCTTTTAAGCCTGGCAGATCACGTGGCGCCTGCTCCAGGGAGGCCCATGTCCCTCCCCGCCGCCTACGTTGCGACACTGGGACCGCCCAGCAGTGAGGGGAGAGGGGAGGTCATATGACCCGGAGCACCGGCTGGCAGGAAATCTCAGCCAGCCGGGTGGGTGGGACGGATGCATCCTCAGCACCCTAAGTTCCCCAGTGCCCACCACAGGGGTCTCTCCTTCCCACACCCCAAGGAAGGGGCTGCACCCTGCGCCCCACACATCACGTGGGCTGGGTTGAAGCAGTCGTAAAGGCTGCAGACTCTTGAAGCCCATAGCTACACCAGGTCTGCCCTGGGTCACACAGCTAACAGGGAAACTGAGGCCTGGCAGGAAGTCTTTGCCTTTGTCCTGCACATGTTCCTAGCACCTGGCTCCTGGGCGGAGGCAGGATGGCTGCTGGGACACTGGATGCTCTGTCAGGGCATAGTGAGGCACCTTCTCACCTGGGCCCTCACCACCCCCCCCCCAGAGGGCTAGGTAGAAAGGCAAGGCTGAGCTGCTGCAGTCCACAAGGCTCCCTGCCTGGAGAGGCGGTTTCCACAGGGACCAGCCCTGCTTGGGAGTGGAGGTGCAAGTGCAGTCGAGGTACTGCGGAGCAAAGGCCCAGGACAGAGCAGGGCCCCCATTGGGAGGACAAGGGCCCGCTGCCCCCACATACCCCTGGGGTCATACACACAGCCTCCTCCAAACCCACAAGCAGTGGGCAGCCAGGGGTTTCAGCTCAGCACCCCAGGCACGAGCTGGAGACTCCCAGCAGTCCAAGGGCTGCACCATTCCCTCGTGGCTGTATGGGTGAGGAAGCCAGGTGGAGAGGCTCAGCAAAGGCCTGGGCAGCCGCCCGGTGGAGGGACTTCAACCTTCCTGGGGAGCAGGCAGCTGCTTGATCCCTCTGGGCTGACACAGACGAGTCACTACCCCACTGCCCGCTGTGGGCATGGCCTGTAAGTACTCTTCTGCACAGGGTGGCAAGGAGAGCACAGGTCAGGGCCCGCTGGTTTGGCGTTTCAACCCAGGGCTGCAGGTCACAGGGCCTTCTGCTGGGGATCCAGACCAGTAAGGCTATCATGGCTGAGAGCTGGCCTCCTGTGGCCTTGGGCAATGGGCACAGCTGTCACTTCCCCTCCTTGTTCTCCACATCAGCACCATGGCACTGAGAGGCTGAGACACTTCCCTATATCACACAGCTGAGGGCAGCAGAGCTAGTCCCAGACAAAGCCACTGGAGGCCGGCCCCACCCGCTCACTGTCCACCTGCCTGGCCCCTCACAGGGGCTCCAGGAGGTAGGGGTGGGGGCTGCAAGTCAGGGACCCCAGCCTGGGAAGTGCACAGTCCTGCTGGGTTCAAGTGTATGTGTGTGCACATGCACATGTGTTCAGGGTGCTCATGACCCAGGTCCACCCAGCACTGGGCAGAAGGCTCTGTGGCTGGGGGATGGTCACACGCATCTCATGTATGGAAGGTGTAGCTGGCAGGAAAGGCTCAAGAAGGAGGAACAGGTCAGCTGCAAGGCCAGGCCAAGCCCTGGGGGCAGGGGACAGGGCTCAGCCACCATGCACACAGAGCTGGGTCGTCCAGAAGCCTGGCTCCTGACCCCTGCAGGACTGCCCTCTCACCCACTCCAGCCAAGCAGGCGCTGCCGTGACTCAGCAAAATCTTGCTTCCCCCCCCCCCAAGCATGACACAGCATCTGGTGTGGAAATCGCGACTCAGCACTGTGGCTGGAAAACAGAAGTGGTTTGGCTGTGGGAGGGGCCAGCTGTGCTCCCAGCCTGGGGCAGGGTGGGGGGAGGGGAGACAAAGACAAAAAAAAAATCAAAAAACAACAACAAAAGAAGACAAAGGGGCCTCAGTGGGGGTGGGGCCTGCCGGGCAGGGTGGTGGGGCTACAGAGGGAGGACCTGAATGGGCTTGGGAAAGCCTGGCCACGCACAGACGGGGAGGGGGGCAGGGGAAACAGTTCGCCTTCCACAGCAGAGTCCACTCGGAGCCCAGGGCCCGTGGCTGGGCAGAAGTCCCAGCCAAAGGGCCCTGGCGGTGCCTAGGAGATGTTGTCCTGAATGTGGGCCCTGGTCTTCCTCTTCATCGGTTATCGCTTCGGAGAACGCAGAGACCATGGCCAAAGCCCCACAGCCTTGGACCAAGGCGGCTCAGAGCCTGGCCCCTGGGCTCTGGCTCTACGGCCTAGAGCAGACTACAGGTGCTCACAAGAGAAATCTCAGGGGCTGTCTATCGGTCAAAGATTTCTCTAACACAACACATCAGAAAATAGAAAATGAAAATTTCTTGCTCTTGAAAACACACTGTTACAGAGAACAAGCAAGCCAGAGACTAGGAGAAAATGTTTGCAAAATTTATATCCAATGGAGCTGAGCATCGTGGCGGACACCTGTAATCCCAGCCCTCGGGAGGCTGAGGCAGGAGGATTGTGGGGAGTTTGAGACCAACCTACAAAGTGAGTTCAAGGCCAGCCCAAACTACAGAGCAAGATCCTGACTCAGGGGCTGGGGATTTAGCTCAGTGTCATTAAGTTCCTGCCCTGCAAGTGTGTGGTCGTGAGTTTGATCCCCGGTACCGATAAAAAGAAAAAGACAAAAAAAAAAAAAAAAAAAAGTCAAAAAGGAAAGTCAAAAAGGGAAAAAAAAAAAAAAAACTTAGGTCCAACAGCTAGGTACAGTACTGCACAGCTGTAGTTCCAGCACTGTGCACCTGGTGGACAAAGTGGAGAGGGCCTCGGGCTGCACACTGTGCCTCCCCATCAGGGCAGCTGCCCTAAGGGATCCTCCTTGGCACAAGGGTTATTTTGAGTGAGGAGCAGCAGACCCCAAAGCTATGGGCCCTGCTATTTGTCGTTTCTGGGAGGAGGACCTGCTCAGCCGGTATGCCCCCATTTCAGCTATTCCCAGGAGTAGGCAGGGACAGATCCCTGGTCCTGTTTAGGTGTTCATTGACTGACCCCAAGACCTTCACACTGAGGTACTTCTGCAGTGGTTTTGTTGTTGTTTGAGACAGAGTTTTGCTGTGTAGTAATGGCTGGCCTCAAACTCAGTGATTCTTCTGTCTCAGCTTCCCAAATGCTGGGATTACAGGTGTGTACCGTCCAGCCTGGCCACCAGGCCTTCTTTATTTACTTTGTTTTTTTGAAGACAAGGTCTCAGGAAGTTGCCTAGGCAGGACTTGGCCTTTTCACACCTTTTAAAAAATTTTTGTATTTTATTTTTTTCTGGTATTGGGAATTGAACTTTTCATGTCTTTTTAAGTTTTTTTTTTTTTTTTTTTTTTTTTTTTTTGGTACCAAGAATCAAATTGAGGACCTCATGCTTGCCAGGCAGCATTGTAGCACTGAGCTGTATCCCCAGCCTTCTCATGTGTTTTGTCAGTACAATTTCATGGCTTTTAGCCAGAGAGCTGGGAGGCCAAGGGGCAGTTTCCTGGAGTGGAACTGCTGCGTAGACATGTGGCAGTCCTTTGAAAGGCTAAGCAAATGCCCAGTGTGGGGACAGGATCCTGCACCTCTGTGTTTACCTATGGGAAGTAAGAGGCAAGTTCCACAGTGGACGTGTGCAGGATGTCCTAGACGGTGAGAGTCCTAGTGTGTCCGGGGGCAGGCACGTGGACAATGCTTTGTAGTGTGAATGGCTAAGAAATTCAGTGCTAAGGAGAGCAACTGATCTGTGCCACCGTGTCATGCAGCTGTCACAGCTACAAACCCACTGTAAACTCCCTGTCTGGGAGATTATGCATAAAACATAGAAAGTCTAGTGTTGTCTTAAAATGCCAGATAATGGAGTTGGGTGTGGTGGCCATGCCAGTAACTCCAGCACCCTGGAGGCACAGGCAGAAGGACCCCTCAAATACCAGGCCAGCTTGGGCTACACAGCACATTTGAGGCCAGTCTGGTTACATAGTGAGACCTTGTCTCAAAAAGTAAGTACACACGGGGGGGGGGGGGCACGTGAAGATTTAGCTCAGCGGCATAAGCACCTGCCTTGCAAGTGCGTGGTCGTGAGTTCAATCCCTGGTACCAATAAAAAAATTTAAAAAGTAAGTACATAAATAAACAGGTAAAAATTTAAAAATTAAGTAAAATTCCAGATAATGGGCTCTAGGTGGAGGCTGGGCCTTGAAGCCTTGGGAGAGCTTCAGGTGTCACAGGCCAGCCTGGGGATGGGACTGTGGATTTTGACGTGGTGTGTGTGTGTGTGTGTGTGTGTGTGTGTATGTTAAAGCTCAGCATGCTGTGTACTTTGCACAAATAGGGTGTCTTGTGCCACTCCGGTCTCCAGAAGACTGTGAGGCAGACCCAGCCTGGTCCTCTTTGCCTGTGGCTCTGAGCTGCCCCGGCTGTGCCACAAGATCCTGAAGGCGAAGGCCCAGGCCCCACCTAGTTAACAAAGGGGGCCGGTTGGGGGTTGTACCCCAGCCAGGGCCCCACATTCCCATGACCCCAAGCCAGGTATGTGCCGTTGGCACCCTGTGACCCCAGGGTAAGGCAGTCAGGGGGCACAGCCAGACAGGGTGCAGGAGGTTCAGACCTCCCAGCTGGCCCTCTGGATGGAGCCTGGCCACTACCCTGAGGCCTCGGTCATTGGGGCCACCTGAGCCACCTGAGGGTCCCCAGCGGAATGGAGGCTGCTGAAGGAGTGGCTGCGGCAGAGACAGCAGTGGCCCCAACATGTTAGGGCTCTTGGGTTCAGGCACTCAGGTTTGTCCTGTCCCCAGGACCAAGTCGGAGGCCAGATACTTGAGTCAACAGGACAAAGGATTTACCCAAAGCTATGGCAAGATGGGCTCAAATCAGCCTCTCACCTGTCTAGGTGGTTGGGTCTGTCCCTTTACAAGGGCAAAGGGGCTGAGGACACAGCTCAGCAGCACAGCACTTGCCTGGCAAGTGCCAATTCCTGAGTTTGATTCCTGGTAACAAAACATACAAACAAACGATATGCTGGGCGTGGTGGCGAACACCTGTAATCCCAGCACTCAGGAGGCTGAGGCAGGGG